ACAACTTTGAAAATTTCTTCTCTGAAGAAAAGTTTAATGTGAATTCTTTTCCATGGTAGCAATCCATGGGGGAATAGGTTGTGGTTTGTGACTTTTGTATGGAAGAGGAGATTTCATGGTGGTTGTGCTGAATGTCTTCTCTGAGTTCCTGATTTTTGTTATTGTTTGAGGCTGATTTGCACTCTGTACCTGTGGTCATTTTCCTGGGTTTTTTTGAATACACAACTTTGAAATTCCGTATATAAATAACTTTAATATATAAATTCCTTATATAAATAACTTTATCAATGAGATATTGATGTGCTGTCTCTCCTGAAGAAAAGTTGTGTTTAATGTGAATTATTTTCTCTGGTAGCAATACATGGGGGAATAGGTTGTGGTTTGTGACTTTTACATGGAAAAGGAGATTTCATGGGGGTTGTGCTGATTGTCTTCTCTGAGGTCTTAATTTTTTTGTATTTGTTTGAGGCTGATTTGCACTCTGTACCTGTGGTTGTTTTCCTGGTTTTTTGAATACACAACTTTGAAATTCCTTATATAAACAACTTTAATATATAAATTCCTTATATAAATAACTTTAATATATAAATTCCTTATATAATTAACTTTATAAATGAGATATTAATGTTCTGTCTCTCCTGAAGAAAAGTTGTGTTTAATGTGAATTATTTTCTCTGGTAGCAATCCATGGGGGAATGGGTTGTGGTTTGTGACTTGTGCATGGAAGAGGAGATTTCATGGGGATTGTGCTGAATGTCTTCCCTGAGTTCCTGATTTTTGTTATTGTTTGAGGCTGATTTGCACTCTGTACCTGTCCTATACCCCTGAAAATATCTAAAATTGTTATTCCCTTCCCTCAGTCCCACCAATATTAATGCAGGGGTGAAATAACAAACACAGTTCTGTGAGAAACTTCCAAGGCTCCCTTTTTGTGCTGCAATTCCCCCAATATTCTGATTTATTCTGGATTTCAGCAGGAATCTGAACAATGAACACAAGAGCTTGGGAAGCTGTGCATTGACACATTCAGTTTGACTGAAAATTAACTCATTTTGCTTTATTGCAGGCATTTGGAAATGCAAAAACAGCACATAACAATAACTCCAGTCGTTTTGGGAAGTTCATTCAAGTCAACTATTTAGAGAATGGGATTGTCAGGGGGTAAGTACAGGGTGAGCTGGTTCTGGGGTGATCTCTGGGCTTTTGGGAGCCTCTGTGGGACACAAAATGCTGCCTTGTTGCTTATAGGAAAATAACTTGGTGCTGTGGAGTTGAAAATTCTGTAGAGTGAGCTGTGTGGAATTGTCAGGTGATGCTCAGTATTCTGATTTTAAATATTCTGATTTTAAATATTCTGATTTTGAATGTTCTGACTTTGAATTTTCTGACTTTGCTGTACAGCTTGCCCATGTTAAGGATCTGCTGCTCTGTCTTTGCCTTCATGGTAAATGAAGCCTTTCTGCCCTCTCCATTTTGCATTTAAAAACAGAAGATCTGGATTTTTAAGAGGAATGGAGAGAAGTGAAATAGATTTGAGGAACCATTTTAAAGAAACACTTTAAACATCAGCTAAAGAGATAAAGAAAATGATAAAATTAATTAACCAAATGTGTGTGCTTATATCTGAAGGTCTTAAAACATGAGATATTTAATGCCTACATTTGCTGGTTCTGAGTGTCATGAGCAATCCCTGACCTTGATGCTCCAGTGTTTCTTTTCTTTGCATTTCTTCTCATTTTCAATTTTTTGAGTGACTGGGAGCTCTGTGCCACATGTGCCTTGAGTTTTATTCTGAATAAATTTAACATATTTTCAGACCCAGCCACACCAGCTCAGCAGATTGCTCCAATTTGAATAAACTTGTTTTGTCTTCAGCCTGAGGAAAAAATGCTCAAACTTTGTCCTCAATCCTTGTGCCCCTTGTCAAGGACTTGGAATTCTTGTTTAGGTTACTTTGTCACCCTGGAGGGGTTTGCTGGCTGCTTCCATTCCGGGCTGATGTTTTCACTGACATAAAAATAAAAAAAGCAGATTTATTGGGATGAGAATCAGGCAGATATCTGGGATATTTCTGGGGTTTTGCCTTGGCTTGCCTTGTCAGATAAGTGTTAATAATTCAGGATAACACATTGTTACCTCTCTGGGGGTCGTTTCAGCACTTTCCTTGCTTGGTCTGCCTGTTTTAAGTGATCTCCATTAAACCCAAGCACAGCAGAGAGGAATTCCTTGGGTATTTCTTTCTTCCAGAGCCTACTGAAATTCTTGGTTTAGATTTCAAGCACTGTCCAAGCTCTTCTCTTGCACATTCTAGTGCAGATCTCATTGTCTGAACTCCCTTGGCAGTTGCTGTCTGATGTTTTTGAGATCTTTTCTCTTTGCCCTCATGGTTATTTCATTTGCTGTGCCTCCTTAGGGCTGTGGTTGAAAAATACCTGCTTGAAAAATCTCGTCTGGTTTCTCAAGAAAAAGATGAAAGGTAAGAGAGAAATGCAGTTTTCCAAGAGAGTTAAAACCAATTCAGCAGTTTGAGAGCATTTGAATTATACAGAATAAAAGAAAATCCTGTATATTTTCATGAGAAATGCATTGACTCTGCAGGAACTACCATGTCTTTTATTATTTGCTACTTGGAGTCAATGAGGAGGAGCGTAAAGAATTTCACCTCAAGCAACCTGAAGATTATTTCTACCTCAACCAGGTAATCTGTGCTTTACCAATGCATTGATAAGGGTTGGTCAGAGATGAAAGGAAGGAAAATAAATTGTGCTGGGCTTTTTGTGATGTTTGGGTTTCGCTCTTTGCCTTTTTTTTTGGATTTCTCTTTGCAGCATAACTTGAAAATTGAAGATGGGGAAGATCTCCGACATGAATTTGAGAGATTAAAACAAGCCATGGAGATGGTTGGCTTCCTTTCAGCAACAAAGAAACAGTAAGTGCAATTCTGTTAGCTTTGTTACTGGCATTTATTGCTCATGGCTTGCAGTGTAGGGATCAAAGCAGTTCTGTAGGGAATGAGGAGAGCTGAGTGTTTGAGATTTTTACAGACTGATTATTGAGGCAGCATTAGCTCTGCTAACCTGTCATAATGAACTCTCTTAAGAAAAATTCTGACATAATTCAATTTTTCTTCCTTAGGATCTTTTCAATCCTTTCAGCAATTCTGTATTTGGGCAATGTCAGCTACAAGAAGAAAGCCACAGGTCGGGATGAAGGGTTGGACGTGGGACCTCCTGAAGTGTTGGACATTCTCTCCCAGCTGTTGAAAGTAGAGTATTTCTCTTTA